AGCAGCTGACATTTGCTAATCACCTTCGTTCAGTGAGTTAATAGTGCTTTCACTAAAGAGAATTAAGATTGCCATCGCAAAGAATGGCAATGATAGAGCTGTCAATAATCACGCTGAAAAAGCGGAAGTGCTAAGAAATATTTCTGTTCTCTCTTTGGGAAAAAAGCCAGATGCTGCATTCAGATCAGACTATAATGATGTTGAAATACTTTCCATTCCAGTAACTAAGGAGGATGTTAAAACAACTGCTACTCGACTCAAACAATATTAAATTGCCAGATCTGGGTAACTTACATGCAAGTGTTTTAAAAGATTCAACTAAGGAGATATCCAGATGGCTAATGTTTATTATCAATCAATTTCAGAGCAGCAGGGGAAGCCCCAGGTGACTTGAAGAATGCTAATATTATGTCAATATTTAAAAAGGCTAAATAGAATGACCCAGATTCCCCTGTCACTGCTTTATAATCATGGGCAAAATACTGGAAGGACTTGAAAGATGAACGGGGTCATAAATAAAGGCAGCTGACACAGTTAATGGCAATGAACAGTGGCTTTAAGCAGGTTTTTAAATGAGACTACAGTATATCAAACATGTTGGGAAGGACTGGACTAGCGGCAGGATGATATTCCCAGGGAGAAGCAGGAAGGTTGCACGTGCACAGACACACATTGGTCCAAATTTGCTGACAGATCTCAAAAAAACCTGACCTTGATTTTAATCAAGCGAGCGTAGGAGCGCTTGACACCCCTCCTTTTTCTTGTTTTAACCATCTCTTACCATTCAACATGGTTAACAATGACCTGGAAGAAAACAAAACCTGCTAACTGATAAGTGGTAGATGGCAAAGATCAAAGGAGCGTTACATAATCAGGAGGACGTGGCATTGTTAAGCACTAATTCTAATTGCTTCACCACCCAGTCAGAAACAGGCAACATGCCTTGCAATACAGGCACGTTTTAGGCTGTGCTTCCAAGGAAAATCCCTGCTTCTTGCCATGGACCACGGCCGGCTGCTGCCCAGGCCAGCGGGATGCTGAGAGTCATATAGGCCATTGCCTATATGGGTCCTATATGGGCAACAAAGTCCCATTCTGCAGCCCTGCGCCAGTGCTGGGCTCATTTAAGCGGGACCGGCCGCAGCAAGTTGCTTGTGTTGTTGTTTTGAGATGGGCAAGAGTGGTAAGAGGTGTAATTCCCATCTCATTGACACGGCTATTATTACATTAATTCTAGGTGCAATCAGGACTAAACTTTCTGAGAAAAACAAGCCTGAGAAAGGAGCTGTTTTTGTTGTTATTGCTGTTTGATTTCAGCAATGACTCAGAGCCCTGTGGCCGCCAGGTGACGTGGGCACGCTCAGCAGCACCTCCAGCTGCAGCCCTTTGCCAGGGCCCATTGCAAAGACCCAGCTCTGACTCTTTTATTAGCGTGTGCTGTCTCCACTACAATCCCACCCCCTAAAAGTTTCTTCTGCTGTAGAAACAACAGAGATCGGCAGCAACACCTAGAAAAAAAACCAACTTTGCCATACAAAAATGCCAGAGGTTGTGTTTACTGTGGCTGGAAGACAAGTCGCACAACGTTTAGTGCTCCTCTACACTCAGCAGGTTTGCAAGTACTTAATAATCTCTTGTTCTTCATGTGCACTTGCCAGCGGCATCGCTGCCCATCTACACTGCTGTGAACCAGTCCAAGCGGTAGGTTTTAGATATTTAAAATAAAAATGGCATGGTGCCAAAAGCTAGAAATGTCAGCGTGATGACCAGGGACCACAGGGAAGATTGTGGCACAGTTGTACTCCGTTTGCACAGAGCTAGTGACTCACAACACAAATACATTCTCACATTCAGCACACTAGGTTTCATACACTTAAGAGTTTTTAGCTTGAAAAGAAAAAGAAACCAAAAAGGCAGTGTATTTATTATTTCATATACTTGGCTTTCATCCTCACTCCCCTTTAAACATTTCCTTTATATATTAAAAAAAAAAAAGAAAAAAGAAACAAGCACAATGTAGCTTAGGGGACACAGTGAATGCAAACAAATGTCCTGCCAGTGCCTACTGGAGGAGAGCATCTGCCCAGGGATTCTCAGCAAAATTTACACTTGCAGTTGTATATCCTAGAAACAAAATATTTTGTTATAGCTGTTGCTGAAACCACAAGAACATAAACTGACACAGACATTCAGGGTGTGTTATCAAGGGAACATTCACATTCATTCTGGATTCATCAGAGTATATTTTCTTGGCTGACTCACTGCTCCATATATACGTATTGTACACTTACTAACATTTTATTAAGGGAAAAGAGTTTACATTGAAAGATTACACAAGTGTGACATTACAGAGCTATGAGTCATACATCTTTGTGTACTGCGTTACCATGCATTCAGTGTATTGATTCTGCTCCAGTCACAGGAGTTTGGCTGCTTCTCCTGGCCATCCTGTGAACTTTTAGAATAAAAAGTATAGAAAGTTATACGAGAGATATTCATAATTTTAAAACATGTGCAGCTATTGAAAGGATCTTTTGCTCACCCTAGCAACTCCGCTTGCCTGCGGCGGCCGCATCCAGCTGCAGCGCTGGGATGGGCTCTTGGGCACACGCTCAAAAGGCTCCTGAGAACCAGAGGCTGTCAGAGCCCATCGCTCCTTCCCCTCGTGGGGCACCGGAGGCACAAAAGTGAGAGTCGTTCTCCTACGCTCTTCTGATCCTCGAACTCGCTTAGAAATCCTTTCAGAAGTGGCTGCAAAGGAAGTATGGAGGAGGTAAGGGAAAGCACAGCTCTTTCTCTGAACAAGCTCTCAAAGAATCGGGCTGATCTGTGACAGAGCGTCACTTTTTTTTCTCCTTGAAGAATTGCCACTTTGCTCTTTCGTTCTTGGGTGACTGCCAAGCAGCTGTGTCTCTCACAAACACGCGTTTGGGGCACACTACCTCAAAACTTTGGAGAAGAGCACCCTCAATCTGGGCATCTAAGCCAGAGACAAAAGTAAGGGAGGAGAACAGGCAGCTCTACTGAAAATTCAGGACAGGACCATAATTTATTTTAAGACAAAGAAGATCATAGAAGCTACTTGCATTATTTTTTTCATAATGTCACAGGGAAACTTTGATTTTTGGCAAGCTCTGTGCAGAAAATGGAAACCCTGCTAGTGACCTGGAGTTCCATTAAGTACCAGTGTCCAGCACTTTCCTGCCAGAGAGGTGGCTCAGGAGGGACATCAAACAACCCTCGGTCAGTGCTACCACGGGGCCAGAGGGGCAACTAGAGGAGGAGACTTCCAATGTAGGGACTACCTCTGTGTTTATTTGTGTGTAAAGTGCATCTGCCCCGCTTTCTGCAGCCTTCACACCTCCCTCTTTCAGCTGGGACCATCCTACCCTCTCCTTGGTCTGATCAAACACCAATTTTCCACTCAAAGTCCTCTACGAAGCATGGGGAGCATCTCCAAAGGCAGGGATTCATCAGCAGTCCTTCATGTACCAGAAGGTCCCTCAATGTCCTCTGGCTCCCTGATCTCATGGAGGTTCCTCACACCTCTGAGGGCTTTGGACAAGGGATGCCTCAGTGTCCCCTCATGTCATGGAGGCCCCTTAGTGCCATGGGGGGTTTGTGTACAGCAGGGACCCCCTCACTGTCCCAGGTCATGGAGGTCCCAGCCTGCTGGGGCAACCAACGGTTCCCTTCATCTCACAGAGGGACACCTCCCTGTCCCCTCGAGTCATGGAGATCGCAGTGTCCTATGCAGGGGGAAGGAGAACAGAGAGAGGGACTCCTCCAGGTCCCCTCATGTCATGGAAGCTCCACGGAGGTCCCATGGGGGCAGCAAAGACCTCTCAAAGTCCCCTCAACTCCCAGGGGGAACCTCAGGCTCCCTAACGCCCTGGAGGAGCGGGACCCTCGGCGTTCCCCGCGCTGAGGCGACACGAAGCGAGGAGACTGCGGCGTCGCGTCCCGGCCCGGCTCGGCCCGGTTCGGTTCGGCCCAGCTCAGTTCGGCCCGGGCCGGCCCCGCTCCGCTCCGCTCCGCCCCGCTCGGGCTGGGGGCCGCCGGCGCCGCGTCCTTTTATACCGGGGCTAAATTTAGGCTGCGCCCGAGCCGCTGCCTCCCGCCCGCCCCCGTCCGGGCCGCGTTTCCTCCGCTCCCTGCCATTGGC